AAACTACGTCGAGCTTTTGGTCCCGAGTCTAATAAACACTACGTTTGGCACAAAACGGCAGATAAAGGTCGGTGACGTGAGTTAAGAAGATTCTGAATATGAATACATTTAAACATAAAAATACTTCTGTCCTCAAACATGTCAAAGAGTCTGTTAGGACGACGAAGACGATGTTGTTGTTTTTTTGGTCCTATAAAGATGGAAATAGTCCTCAAATTCAACACTTTCTACTAATTATTTTGCATAAAACTGACACCTGGATGCAAATATAGCGCTCGGAATATGTGAGCTGTGTGACGGAAGAAGTCGATTGTTTATAGGAATGAACCCTTCTATCGCCAATGTCAATTCTTCGATATATTTACTCTGGAATTATTATTATTATTATTATTGCAATTTAACATGAAAAAACCCCACAAGGTTTCTTTAAAAAAGAATCATGCTTCACATCTACAGTCACCACAGAACAACACTTAGGGGTTTTGGTTCAGGTGTGTCTTGTGTTTAGGCTTGGGTTAACATTGCCATCTAGTGGACACTATGAATACTGCAAGACAACACACCGATGGCGACCTTCTGCAACTTCAGGATTGGCCAGTCTCAACCAAGCTCTACCCTAAAGGCTGGTGTGTGTGTGTGTGTGTGTGCGCGCGTGTGTGTGAGCATGCATGTTTATATTTACACCTCAGGACCTGGAAGCAGCTAAAAAGAAACACGTTCATGCTTAAACCCTCAAAGTCACCGTTCCCTCTTTTCCTCCAGTATAAATATCTACTTTTACACAACTATGTTAAATAGACCCCTCCCACTTTTGAATAAACCCAACAAAACAACCTCAACATACATCATTCAGATGATGAAACAGTCAAACAGCTTCAGAACGCGATAGAAAAAGGTTTAAAAAAAAAAAAAATTCTTTCAGGGCAGTTACTGAAAACCAACACTTCCTGTCACGTGTTAAAAAACAGAGAATACTTTAACTTTAGTCCTAACTCTGCTGCTGCTGTCCTTCTAGGTCTGAACTGTGACTGACTGTTTATTGGTTCAGTGTTTTACAGACTTTTTTAGACTAAACTAAACTAAACACTGGTTTGTTTTTTCATCCGGACGACGGACAGAACAAGGAGCAGAAACGATGGGAAACTAAGAACCAGGCTGGTGCCCCCCTCAGGTCACCAGCACCACCGGCAGCATGCACCACCTGTGAGGAGGAGCTGACAGCAGCTGGACCTCCTCCTCCTCATCATCATCATCTACATCATCATCATCTCCTAGTGTTGGACTGGTTCAGTGAAGGTCAGTCTTTCACAGTCGGGGTTCTAAAATCTAGATACTTTTGTGTGTGTGTTTGTGTGTGTGTGTGTTTTAACTGAAATATATTTTCCTCTCTGTATGTTATTTATACAACGTTCCGAGCAGCCTCCTCTTCCTCCTCCTCCTCTCGGCCAGAATTCCAGGATCAAATCCAGCCATGGAGAATAAACGCTCCAAACAGCTTTTGACTCTCAGGCAAAACCTGGAGGAAACAGTCGTAGAAAATCAACACATCACTCACTGCTTTCTGTTGTTATTTCTGTTTCAATTATTTAATATTAATAATAATATTAATAATAATAATAATCTATAACACTTTTCTTTTCTTGACACTGTTCAACAGTTTGGAAAATAAGCCCAAAACTTAGAAGTTTGAGTAATTTTCCAGGTGGAATTGTGATGAAGACGGATCACTGCAGCGGTACTGAAGACAGAACTATTTCGGAGCCTCTCACGTCGACACGTTCTCAGCTACAAATCTCCACTGACCTTCGTTAAAAACTATTATTCCTACTGAACTAAACTGGACCTAAAATCCATTGAACATAGGAAATAAAATGAACAATCGGAGCAAACAATGTAAATATTCAAATTCAAATGAAATCTCTTCAGTGACCCCCTGACCCCCGACCCCGGGGTCCTCACCTGGGCCTGTGGTGAAGATCACTGCAGCGGCGCCGCCGGAGCTCCTGAGCAGTGGAAGTGGACGTTGAGCCACTTGGCGTCTCGACGGTGCCAGACGCGGGTCTCCTCCGACTGACAGGAGCGCGGTCGACCCTGGCCGTCGATGTACTGCGTCAGCCGGATGTAGGCTATGCAGGCGGCGTCCTCTCCGATCAGGTGGACGTGGGGGTTGAGGATGGTGGTGTGGACGGGTTTGCTGTTTTTACTCAGCACTGATTGAAAAATGACGGGAGAAAAGTTTGGTCAAAAATTTTAGTGTCTGTGGATTTAAAGAAAGTCTGAACCTGAGACCGAAAATGATTCTCACGATTCTCGAAGTAGAACTTGTGGAAGTCCATTCCCTCCACCAGGTTTCCAAGAGCTTCCGGCTCAAAAGAGGTGAGTCCAGGGTCACAGATCCTCCTGTCAGCACAACAACACACACAGATATCATTCAGGCGTTTGTTAAAGTAAAAAAGAAAAAAATCCTGCTGACGTAACTCACGTGTACGCTTCAAAATCCCCGTTGTTGATGGCCTCGATCAGCTGCTCCGTCATCTTTATGATCTCCTGTTTACGAGCTGAAGATGAGGAGGCACAGGAAAAAGAGGGGAAGAAAAAGGAGAGAAGGTGAGGCATGGTTTCTAATTTTGGAGAGAGAGTCGTCCATTTTCTTTCTTTAAAGTTCCCAGATGAGCAGCTACACTGAACAATCGGACTTATGGTGGTTCAGTGAAGGTCAGTCTTTCACAGTCGGGGTTCTAAAATCTAGATACTTTTGTGTGTGTGTTTGTGTGTGTGTGTGTTTTAACTGAAATATATTTTCCTCTCTGTATGTTATTTATACAACGTTCCGAGCAGCCTCCTCTTCCTCCTCCTCCTCTCGGCCAGAATTCCAGGATCAAATCCAGCCATGGAGAATAAACGCTCCAAACAGCTTTTGACTCTCAGGCAAAACCTGGAGGAAACAGTCGTAGAAAATCAACACATCACTCACTGCTTTCTGTTGTTATTTCTGTTTCAATTATTTAATATTAATAATAATATTAATAATAATAATAATCTATAACACTTTTCTTTTCTTGACACTGTTCAACAGTTTGGAAAATAAGCCCAAAACTTAGAAGTTTGAGTAATTTTCCAGGTGGAATTGTGATGAAGACGGATCACTGCAGCGGTACTGAAGACAGAACTATTTCGGAGCCTCTCACGTCGACACGTTCTCAGCTACAAATCTCCACTGACCTTCGTTAAAAACTATTATTCCTACTGAACTAAACTGGACCTAAAATCCATTGAACATAGGAAATAAAATGAACAATCGGAGCAAACAATGTAAATATTCAAATTCAAATGAAATCTCTTCAGTGACCCCCTGACCCCCGACCCCGGGGTCCTCACCTGGGCCTGTGGTGAAGATCACTGCAGCGGCGCCGCCGGAGCTCCTGAGCAGTGGAAGTGGACGTTGAGCCACTTGGCGTCTCGACGGTGCCAGACGCGGGTCTCCTCCGACTGACAGGAGCGCGGTCGACCCTGGCCGTCGATGTACTGCGTCAGCCGGATGTAGGCTATGCAGGCGGCGTCCTCTCCGATCAGGTGGACGTGGGGGTTGAGGATGGTGGTGTGGACGGGTTTGCTGTTTTTACTCAGCACTGTTTGAGAAATGACGGGAAAAAAGTTTAGTCAAAAATTTTAGTGTCTGTGGATTTAAAGAAAGTCTGAACCTGAGACCGAAAATGATTCTCACGATTCTCGAAGTAGAACTTGTGGAAGTCCATTCCCTCCACCAGGTTTCCAAGAGCTTCCGGCTCAAAAGAGGTGAGTCCAGGGTCACAGATCCTCCTGTCAGCACAACAACACACACAGATATCATTCAGGCGTTTGTTAAAGTAAAAAAGAAAAAAATCCTGCTGACGTAACTCACGTGTACGCTTCAAAATCCCCGTTGTTGATGGCCTCGATCAGCTGCTCCGTCATCTTTATGATCTCCTGTTTACGAGCTGAAGATGAGGAGGCACAGGAAAAAGAGGGGAAGAAAAAGGAGAGAAGGTGAGGCATGGTTTCTAATTTTGGAGAGAGAGTCGTCCATTTTCTTTCTTTAAAGTTCCCAGATGAGCAGCTACACTGAACAATCGGACTCATGGCCTGCCGTTACGCCTCTAGGCCTGAAGATGGCAGCAAAGGAAGAAAAGCTAGTGCTGCTCAGCGTCACGATGTGGTCAAATTTTAAAAAAAGTAATCGACAACGCGGAGAAAAATAAATTACAATACAATTGAATAAAAAAATTAAATCTGATGTTGGCCTGTAGAGGTCACCAGAGAGTTTTTATTAACAATGTTAAAGCATGCAGAGAAGGTAAAAAAGGTTCAGACATGTACCTTTCCTACCTTTCAGCTCCTCCTCTTCTGTGTTGTTGCAGCTCTCAGTGGAACCCTGTCAAAGACAACAGGTGGACACAGTGGGACAGAAGAGTGGGTGGACGGGAGAGACACAGAGACATCACAGGACAGTTCACAGGTTTTTTTTTTTTTTAATTTAAAAGTTAAATGGAACTGGGAAGCGGTGGCTCATATTGACACAGAGACAGGCGGATGGATGGGGGGACAGACTGGACGGGGGGGTGGTGGGGGTGAGGTGGACGATGACGACGACTCCGTCCTCCCAGGAGCACAAACCAGCCAGGAAAGGACGTGGATTTTAATTTGATTTGTATGTTGAACGACTTGAACGAGGAAAAAATTTTTTAAAAAACCCTATTATTTTTACAACAAAGTCAAGGTTTTAGCTCCTAATATACTATGAAGGGAGGAAAAAAAGTTTAAAAAAAAACAAACATTATTTTTATAACAAAGTCAAGGTTTTAGCTCCTAATATTTAATATATTTAATATATAAATTGCCTTTTAAAATATATTTTTGTTCACCAATAAGTTAATAAGTTTTGGTTTACGTAGCTTTAACTATTTTGTGCTAACTTCAAATTTAATATATTAAATATATAAACTGCCTTTTAAAATATATTTTTGTTCACCAATAAGTTAATAAGTTTTGGTTTACGTAGCTTTAACTATTTTGTGCTAACTTCAAGATACTGCTAAAATACGGAACCCTGATTCAGGGAATGTTTGAAATGTTTGTTTTTACCTTTTTTAATATTTGAATGTGTTTTATTTTCTGCCCATTTTGCGTATTTTTTATCTTGTAATTTTCAGTGTTGTCTTTAACTTGCTGCACAGTCTCTAAGACTAATTATTCTTCAGAGACTAACGGCACCAGTAGAATAATTAGACCTGGATCGTTAGGACCTAACGGTGTGATGAAACAGGCTGCGTCTCAGTGGCTTCAGCAGGTCGTCGGTTTATCGATCCGTTCAGAAGGTTACTCTGCACTAATTAATTAAAACCAAATGTCACCGAACACAAAGGAAAAGGAAGAAATCTTTGAAAGCAGCCAGAAGTGGGATGTTAGAATTTTACTGAAAAAAAAAAGCCTCAGTGCCAACAAGACAAAAACTCTATTGAAATAAGTCTTTCATTAATTTTTCTTAATTAAACAGGAGAGGGCGCTGCGCATGACGCCATCATTGTTGTAAAAGAAGATCCTGCAGAAGTTTCTGACATTAGCAGCAGCTGATCGTTAATCATGCACCAGTTAGTTTGTTAATTGTTAATTGGTTAGTTGTTAACTCAGGCTGCTGGTTAAGAGTTAATTAACTATTACGATTAGAGAGACTTATCTGTAGTTACTGGGGAGTGTTAGTCGTTGCCATGGTAACAGTCGGGGCAGAAGAACAGCTTACCTTGGTGCCGTCAGCTGGGTTGTGAACAACAGTGGTCTGGGCTTCCTGGGGGAGGCAGGAGAGACTTTACCATGCAGGGATGGAATGAGTGGAGGTGAGAGGACGGACGGAAGGAAGGAAGGAAGGAAGGAAGGAAGGAAGGAAGGAATAAAGGAAGGAAGGAAGGAAG